CTTTCCAATTGACTTCAATCACCTAATATCTGTTTCTTTCGTAATCAATAAGATGAATGCATCTCACTAGTCAGTCATCAGTCATTTAAAAACATATTGTAGAGTATGCTGTAAAAAGTTATGGATTCTATGCTACTGAATCGAGTATAGTGGATATTGTTTACTAGTGAGTTCGTGAATTTAAAGTATGTATTCAACGTGGTACATTGTAAACTAAGATCACATTTAAATTGTGGATACATAGTCTTTGCCTCAATGTCAATTTATTTGACTTAAACGCAAGTAAACAGCTTTAGCAATAATTATGTCTTCTTATAAGTCAACCAGACATAAGCAACGTAGAACCTGCCATATATATGTATTGATCCAAGTTGTCAGTCAGTCAGTAACAATGTAGAAATTCGTACGTACGTACATCAGTTCGAGTCGCCATACCACATTAGCACAGAGATGCAGTTGTAGATTAGAATCCTGTAGTGGTAAAGGTAGTAAGAGTATAAGCAGTCATCGAAAACATTAGGGTTTGAAGATGTTATTCAAGGAGTATAATACAGTGAAATAAATTTGGAAAGAGAAAAAAAAGAGATAAGGAGAATTCAGGAGATTAGAATTTAGGAGGATCCAAGTTGATACAATATAAGTACAGATATCTTAAATTAATACCTTTGTAGTTCAATTCAAATTACTTTATTATTATTCCTTTCTTTTACACCAGCTTGCTTCGACATATGATAAGACTGGCTGGAAGAGTTACATAGAAAAGCGTGTTTAACATGTAAAACATATCAACAACAAGTAGTTGGTTAACATAGAGTTGTTCTATTAATTTATTCGACACAGGATTTGGACATTGAAAGCTACAAGATATAGTCTGAAGCATAGTTCTCAAAGACTAAAAATAACCATCTCAAACAGTTCATAATAAATGCAAATAAAGGTCTATTGACAGAAACAACACAGAATTTAGGGGACTAAGAAAAGTTTTTAAAGCGATTCTGAAGGTTCGTGGGCGATTAACGTTTATCGACTACATATATAAATACAATGTTCTATCAAATAACATGACAAAAGAGATTAGCGTTGCTGGTGTCGTTATTTTATGAAGATGACTAGAGTCTAACTTAATACCGGTTACATACAGCTTATCTGTAGTGTTGGTTCAGTAAATCAACCCACAATAAGACAGTATTTTGATTTCAGTGCAACCCATTTTAAACTGTTCCCGTCTATAAAATAAGAAATTTAAGTGAGGATACTGCTTATTTATGATATTTTAATGGAGTCAACACTGAGATTTTAACCGCGATCCCACAGTTTACTATTTTTGGTAAAATTATTTTCAAGCGGTCTGTCCATTAAGCAAAGGTTTTAATAAACCAGTATTCTACTTATAAGATAGATTTTCACAGTAGACAAACAAGATTACCACGTTCAAATAGTTGAAAACACTACACTAAGTCGGTCATCATCAGCGTATAACCTAGGACAAATGTCCACCGGCTCAAGTTTTCACATCATATCAATATAGAGATGAAATTAACAGGATGAACATCAAAAGGATCAAGATAACATTAAGTAGGTTAAACATAGGAAATATGCTTTGGAAATTCGGAATCAATTCACAGAATAGTATATAAAGATCAACACTTAAGGAAAGATATTGAATAGACGGATTTGAACTACCATAACCGATTCTAAGCTATCACGTAAGGTTCCTAACCATTGTTCACAGTTATTCTGCACACACCAATCAGATAATTTTGATCTGTTAGAGCGGCTCAGACCGGTACTTGATGACTTTGTGGACTAATGGTATTCCTTAGTTTGGTCACCCCTGGCTTTCCCATAACCTCAGTCAGTTAGTCAGCTACAACATAGGACCAGGCACATATGTGCACCGGTCCAAATTGCCATACCTCATTAACACAACAAGATGGACACCGAATTCATAAAAGTAGTTAATTCAGAGGTGGTAATATATAAAAGAAAGATTGCATATAAGGATATAGTACAGGAAGAAAGAATTAGTTCATAGAAAGAAATACATGAAGCGATTTTAATCTCTTAATTTAAGGGAAGACAAGGAGTGTATACACCGACGCCATTGTGATCGATTCTGAGCCATGTCACCCACAGTCTCCAACCACTGGTTACAATGGTCACGCGTACCCCAACCAAGTAGTCTGTTTCTACCAACATGGCTCAGACTAGAAATTAGTGACTTCAAGCACTGATGCCACGTTTTGGTTTGGCCGCGCCTAACCTTCTTCCAACCATCTCCAACACCGGTTAGCATTGCACGTCGTGGTAATCGGTGTTCGGGCATACGTAACACGTGGCCCAACCATCTCAGTCGATGGAGATTCACAACCTCATCAACTGATTTACCAACCCATTAGAGCTGATCAGACTTCCAAGATAAGTGAAGCTGTCAATGCGTTCGGCTACTTCACTCCCTATTGTCAGTTCAGGTGTTGACACAGGCCAGTCTTTAGGCAACAACTTGTATTTAGAGGGAGAGAAGCGCATTCCAAACATCCTGGCATTGTTGCTTAGTGCTACCAGAAGACTCTGCATTTTATCAGCGTCTTCACCAAACAGGACTATGTCATCTGTGTATTCTAAGTCGATAAGTGGACCTCCTGGTAGGAGATCAATACCCGAGAACTCAGTCGACGAGAATGTTATTTCTATCAATAGGTCTATGATGAAGTTAAACAAAAATGGGGAAAGTGGACAGCCTTGACGGACACCACTTGAGGTTGCAAAAGTAGATGACAGTTCGCCATAAGCCTTGACTCGACTAGTAGTGTTCGAGTAAAGAGCCTTCACAAGGTTTATGTACTTCTGGGGTACGCCTTTCAATGACAGACACTGCCACAGAATCTCGCGGTCTATGCAGTCAAATGCTGCTTTTAAGTCAAGAAAGACCACCATTGTCGGACGTCGATAAGTATGCCTGTGTTCTCAGATCTGACGAATGGTGAATATATGGTCGATGCAGCCACGACCAGGTCTGAAGCCAGCTTGATTCTCTTGTGTTTGAAGTTCACGAGTCTTAGTTAGGCGTCTGATAATTATCGAGGCTAGTATTTTAGATACTATATTAGTTAAACTAATCCCTCTACGGTTGTCACAGGATGATTTTAACCCTCTCTTATATATTGGGACGACAAGTGATTGTGACCAGTCAAATGGGATAATGTCTAGCTCCCAGATCTTAGCTAAAATATTAGTCAACCTAATCGCTAAAAATGGACCACCACCCTCAAAGACCTCTGGAGCTAATCCATCTGCTCTTCCTCGTTTCAGATTAACTATAGCCTTTTGAACTTCAGCTAGAGTTGGGGGACCTACTTCAAAGTTCCATCCACACTGTCTGGGAATGGTGGGTAGTTGTAGAGTAGCTGAAGGCCAGCTGAACTGTTCTCTAGTGTTCCAACCATCGTTCTAAACGTCTGGACTAGGAGCAGATGAGAGTATCGTCTTTTTCCGATATAATCTCACTTACACTTGACTTATTAATTCCAGTTTCTTTTATTACTCTGTAGAGCTGTCTTGTGTTCCATATAGCCGCCGCTTTATCCATCGCGTTTGCTTTCATTGCCCCTCACTGCTCACGGTCGTTCCGTAGACTTTTGCTTAACCTAGATCTGATTTGTTGTCGCTCTTCATCGTGTTCAGAGCCTGATGGAATGAGTTTGTGAGGACCCATCAGTCCAATAGACCTTGAGGAAATCCATTGGTTTTTTGTAACTCTGTGGTTTAAATCACTAATAAATGTCATTGCTGTTTGTATATCTTTCCAAGCAACATCTTGGTGAGCCTCGTTTTCAAAACTACCTAAGTGTGACCTCAGTTGTTTCTGGAACCTACTTTTGGTTTCCTCGTTACTCAATTCAGTTCTAATGGGTCTTTTTACTGAGGCATTTTTGCGTCCAGTGAGGCGCAAGTAGATGCGTGCCCGTATGAGGGCGTGGTCGGAGTCCAAGCAGGTACTCCAGAATGAGTGACAATCTTCTACCGACCCTCACCAACGATGGCTGATGGCAATATGGTCTATTTGAGTCCATCGTTGGTTTGGTGTAGGGGGTCGCCGTGTTAGACGATGTCTCTCCTTATGCTTAAAATTTGTGTTTGCTAAAAATAAGCGATTGTCTGAGCACAGTTGCAGCAGACGATCACCATTATCTGTTCGCTGATCTGGATTCCCGAAATACCCACCTAAATATCTTACTGTTTGGTTTAAGCGACCTATCTGGGCATTAAAGTCACCTGCTACGAGTACTATGTCTGAACGTTTAGCTTTCTGAAGAAGTTCAGATAGCTTTCTGTAAAATTCATCTTTCACTTCATCTGAGCTGCAGTCAGTGGGAGCGTAGGCAGAAACGACAAAAAGGCAACGACGTGTGTCCCTATCCTTCCGAGTTCTTACGGAGTCGTTTAGCCGAACAGCACATAAACGACTGTTAACAGGGATCCACTCTAACAATGCTTGTTCCGCCCTCATGCTTAGTGCTATGTCCTTTCCATAACCTACTTTTCTATCAGACAGAATTACGTGTCGGGGTAGGTGATGATTGGGGATGCGTAACGCCTATCCTAGGTACCTCAGTCAAAGGTTTACGTGCTCACGAACTAATTACGTTAAGAGGATAGCATTAAACTTATTTATTTTAACACGTAAACATTGGTTAGAGGCACCAAATATATATGCGTTATACAAATTATTCAATTTGTGTGAAAGCATTAAACGCCGATTATAATCACTTCAAGTTCCTAAGAATCTTGTTCACTCTTATAAATATAAAGACAATGCAACGCGCCATGTGTATATAAGGCAAACGATAGATGGTTTGATTTAATTACCCACTAGAAAAAATATGAACAGAAAAATTTATATCGGCTGAATATGTATAGATTATACATGTGGAATTATTCATGTATACAGAATGATATCAAATTTGCATTTCTTTCTAGTGCATTTAATCACTGATCACTTATAAATTAGGATTATCAACTTCTGAGGACGAACGAAGTATAATTTGTTTCTTTGAGAAACCACCTTCTGTTTCTACAATCAGATATCGATAATCAAATTCTTTAGATTCATTCTGATTAGATGAGAAAAAAAAAAACAAAAGAAGAGTAAACCTTTTTATTTATGTACGACTATGTTTAACTGTGTAAAGAAGAAATAGTAACTAGTTTTTCAAAAGGAAGCCGTACATTTATCTACTTTTCAGTGGTAAGTAGTATAAATTCCAAACACATATTTCTTATTGCAAAGAATAGGATTGAAAATTTGGATTTGAAGATTTTGGGAATGCAAACAGTAGTTATTTATTTATTTGAACACAAACATAGGTACAAGGGGGCAACAAATACATATGCGCCGCACGATAACAATGAGACCAGTAGCAGTTAACGCTGATCAGTGTGAGGGCTGTGATACTGCCTGGGTGCCCAAACTGAAGCAAAAGGTTTCCTTGGGGGGGGGGCACACCCCGAGCCTTTGACCTGAAGGTCTAATCTACAAGGTAGTGGAGCAACTGTAGGATGCAGCCCCATGGTGGCCGGTGACTAACAACTGGTTCATATGCCTTTTGTTACCTCAAGATCTTGGAGCCCATGTACAACATTGGTTTGGGATCATGGTTTTCCAACTCCCCTAGGTAGATGCAGACTACTTGGTTGGGGTCCGCGTGACTATCGTAACCAATGGTTGGAGACTCTTGGTGACATGGCTCAGAATCGATCACAATGGCGTCGGTGTATACACTCCCTGTCTTCCCTTAAACTAAGAGATTAAAATCGCTTCATATCTTTCTTTCTACGAACCAATTCTTTCTTCTTGTACTATATCTCTATATGCAATCTTTCTCTTACATATTACTACCTTTGACCTAACCACTGCTATGAATCCGGTGTTCATCTTGTTGTGCTGATGCGGTATGGCAACCTCGACCGATGCACATATGTGCCTGGTCCTACGTTGTAGCTGACTGAACTCCCCTAGGTGGATACTCCAAATCCGCTAACCCGGTTAAGGCGCCAGACATTCGCTTTATGTCCTCTCACTTTCGTAAACTACACCCACGCCGCGGGAAGGCAGTGAGTAGGACCTCCCTGGTAGTGGCTGTATACGCATGGCCATGTGAGAGAATTTCGAAAGGGAGAGTGAACTCTCCTCACCCTCATCCGTACCACGGGAAAGTTAATATGGTGAGACTGATTTGTTCATTATGAAAAAGATGCCTATCTCTACATTTTAAATCGCGAAATAAGGTATGTGTTTTACATGCAGACTTATGGAACTCACTTTCATTGTATTCATTTGGATGGTTATTTAACAAGCTAGCGAATAGAAAATTTTGAACAAGCGGAGGATGTATGATCTACCAAAAATGTATACCACTTCGAATTATTACAATGAAAACAATTATGCTGCGGGATGTGAAATGTACGAAGGTTTCTTACCAATAAACTAGTGTTTTCAGATTTAAGTAGCGATGAGTATGGTTTTCTACACAGTTTGGAAAATAATTAATGTTAAGTTTGAATAACGAGTTATTACGAGGAAATCCCGAATATTCGATAAAGACTGAACAACTGAAGGTTTGTAGAAAAAAAACAGTTCGATTTAACTGTGGGAAAAATACCTCCGTTTCAGAAACCCAAGTTCAACTACTGTTGCGAAACACAATTATCACAAAAACCATATGTATTAGGACAGAATAACATCTAAAGCTCTGCTGCAACTTTACATAATAGTACAGACATTGAAGGACTGACGTTAGTCCTGACTTTATTTTGAGGAAAGACTAGTTGGTTGGAATTTTTCTGCTTGGTTAATGCTTCCTGTGGCTTATTTTTTTTATGAACCACACATCTTCGGATGTTTATACTTTTACTCTACTTGTCACTAGATGTGTAATTTATGACACTGATTTCAAAATTAAACTGAAAGCTAAGTACAGTTGGTACGTTCAGCACTCTTACTAAACCATGCGAGTGCAAACTGGAGTTGGACTACAATTTTACACTAAAAAACAATACATGGTGAACACTTTTTACAATATAGATTTTCACTTTCATTGCTTAGTACCCAAGAATATCATAGCGTCCCAGTTGAACATATCTATGTTGTTTGAATATTTTAGATTGAATGCTTTTCGCAAATCATCCAAATACGTAGTTACACAACTATCTCCGAAAAAGATGGACATAATATTATTCACTCTCAATCCAGGAGATTGGATCGATGGGCAGAAAACTTTAGGGATCAGTTCAACTGGCCTTCAGCCACACTTCGGTTTCCCATGATCTCCAATCAACCTGAATGGCAAGTTAATGCAAGTCCTCCAACCGTTTACGAGGTTGAAAAAGCTATAGGAAACCTGAAGCGTGGGAGAGCAGCAGACCCTGACAGGTTTACCCCTGAGATTTTTAAGAATGGTGGTCCAGTATTAGCAGTAACATTAACTGAAGTCTTAGGTAGGATTTGGGAACTGGACGCAATCCCATCTGACTGGTCTCAATCACTGATTGTGCCAGTCTATAATGGACAAAAGTCCTCTTGTGACAATCACAGAGGAATCAGTTTGACTAATAGTGTCTAAAATATTAGCTTCAATAATACTTCGACGCCTAACTAAAGCTCGTGAAGAGCAGACTAGGGAAAACCAGGCTGGTTTTCGACCTGGACGTGGTTGTATAGACCGAATATTCACACGACGTCAGGTCCTAAAACATAGACACACATTCAGACGCCCCACGATGGTAGTATTTCTCGACCTTAAGGCGGCATTTGGCTCTGTTGATCTTGAGGTACTATGGTAGCGCTTGTCACTGAAAGTAGTACCAAAGAAGTGCATTAACCTTATAAAGGCTCTCTACTCGAACACAACTGGTCGAGTGAGAGCTTATGGAGAACTGTCATCAGAATCGATTACCTCAAATGGTGTTCGTCAGGGCTGTCCACTCTCTCCATTCTTGCTTAACTTTATCGTCGACGTACTTTAAGAGATAACACACTCCTCATCTAAATTTCCAGGGGTTGAACTACTGGGAGATTCACTTGCTGACTTAGAATATGCCGACGACACAGGTCTATTTGGTCAAGACGCTAACAAAATATAGAGTTTTCTGACCACTATAAGTAACAATGCAAGCATGTTCGGGATGCGATTCTCCCCCTCGAAATGTAAAATGTTTCTTCAGGATTGGGTTGCATCGACACCTGAACTAATGATGGGGAGTGAAGCAGTTGAGCGTGTCGACCGCTTCACTTATCTTGGGAGTCTCATCAGTCTTTGTGGTCTGGTGTGTGACGAGATCTCAGCACGGATACAGAAGGCTCGACTAGCTTTTGCCAACTTGCGTCATTTATGGCGTAGGCGAGATATCCGTCTACCAACCAAAGGACGAGTTTACTGTGCAGCAGTTCGTTCCATCCTACTTTATGGCAGTGAAACATGGACGGTAAGAGTAGAGGACATTCGTAGGTTGCTAGTATTCGATCATAGGTGTCTTCGAAGTATTGCTCGTATATCATGGGACCATCGAGTAAGTAACACAGTTGTTAGAAAACGGGTACTAGGTAAGGATGGCAAATCAATTGATGAAGTAGTGAAACTTCATCAGTTGAGATGGCTGGGACATGTGTTACGTTTGCCCAAGCACCGACTTGCGATGTTTTATGGTGTGAGAGTAGGTTGGAAGAAAGCTAGGGGCAACCAGACCAAAACATGGCACAAATCCATGAAGTCACTGACAAGTGGACTGAGCCATGTTGGTAGGTGTAGACTACCTGATTGGGATCCGCGAGACGATAGCAACCGATGTTTAGAGACCTTGAGTGACATGGCTCAAAATCGTTTGCAATAGCGCAGGTGCATCCACTCTTTGTGTTCTCCCAAATTCTAATTTTCTGAACTCTCCATGTCCGTTTTCTTCTCTTTCCAAATTTATTTCACTGTATTATACTCCTTGAATAACATATTCAAACCTTAATCTTTCCGATTACTGCTTATACTCTTACTACCTCTACCAGAATGACTTGCTTTGAACCATATCACTCGGGGTCTGCGATCACAGAATTTTTGAGTTTCAAAGGACCAAACTAAGAATCCTATTCTTCTCATGCTAGTAAGCAGTAACTTCATTGGTTAGTTTTGTGCAGGGGTTTGAATCACTGTGAAGTATATTATTCCCAGAATTCCATTCATAAGGATTGTTTTAAGGGGTCATTGAGGATGTGACATTGGTAGTTAAGATAAAATTTGAATGTGAATAATGATTATTGAGACATATACTTTGCTCATTATTTAGGTTTATTTATTCAAGATTTGAAATAATACCCGTATCAGTGTTTCTTTATCTTAAAAGGAATACAAATGCTTTCAATAATACCTTTAAAATTAACAAAGATTATCGATGAACGTTGCAACAAGATTACACCGAATGTTAAAAACAACTCACTTCAACAACCTCGAGATAAACTACACCAGATGCCAAATTGCCTTTAATGTAAAATTTCATTGCCATATGCAGTCGACCTTTGTCATCATGCCATGAGTCATAGCTAGAAGTTTTGTGAACAAGGAAATTAGGAGTCAATCTTTGACATAGATAAAGAGTTACGGTAAGCTAGTCAGTTAATTACACGATGATATGGTTTATTAATGTATTGAACAGAAGTGTATCGATGTGGCCTAGTGGTCGAACCACTTGCCTTTCAAACAGCTCGGAGGTTCAAACCCTACTTCAACTAACACAGCTTGGGAAGTCAAGTAATATCATTAGTCCTCACATAGTGTTGGCCGATGCTAGGTTAGACGACAGCTGATTGGACCAACATGAGACTTGAAAATAACGATAGCGGTTAGTGATGTGAAACTAGATTATAATACAGTACTAACTGATACATGTTAAACGGTATGGATAACGTAATCAGAGAATCATCCATCAAATGTTTTATTTCATTGGTTTTTCATCAGACTCGCAAAATCTGAAATCTGAAGTCACAGTGTATGAATAGGTATAGTATATTTTAGTAACTCTTTAATGTTGGTTAAAGACACTAGCCGAATGGAATTGATGTGCTACCTAACCATTCAACATCATAATTTTAATCTAAATTGCAGAATATATTAAACAGTATGAATACTTTACTCTAAGGATTCAAAATAAGTCAGATTTTGCGGACAATCCTCACCTATCTATTTTAAACCAGGACACAGTAAAAAAACATCTCTTTTAGTTTGTAGTTTTATTGTTATCCAGTGAGTATTTTCATAAGCAAAACGATCAATGTGAACTAAAACTCACGAACTTATATTTACTGGTGAAAACCAACACATAGCTTATGTTACTTCTTTTAACGTGAATTACTAACGACTTGCTTTTTCTGAAAATTTACGTAGCTAAGTGCTCGTGTTTTGGAAATAATAAGCTAGGCCAGAAGTCGATAGATCTTTTGAGATTACTTAATATTTAGAGGTTAAGATAATCCTAATAAGCTAATTTGACCAAATGAGGAAGATTTAACTGACTTTAAGAACTTGGTGAAACGGTACACATTGACACAGGCAACGTTTGCACACACATCCATCAGGTCAGTCCACAAATATTTTCAGCAAAGTTAGCTTATTGATAAACCATAATTGAACACGGTATATTGAAGATTAGAGATGGAAGTAAGGCTACATCGGTTTTGAATAAGATTTGTGTAAATCAACTAAGCAGGAGTATTGATGAGTTTTGGGAGGGTTTTCCCACAAAATATGTTTGATACTTGATTTTTCAAAGCGATAACTATCAAAACAATCGATTCCCCTGTCCAGATTATAATGCATTAACTTACGGTGTCAGCTTTTAGTCACAAATAATCCGGACTTGGTAAATATCAAAGTCATGAATGCAGAAATTCAGTTACTTGTAAATAGTGAACATTACGAATCAAAAGATTGTCGACGCTGCTGAGCGCGATAAATAATACTATCTTACGCAATATTTTGTCTTCTACGACGACTATCGGGGCTGGTACGAGCCTTGAGAGAACTTCCAAAAAAATCAAGCACCTGAGAAGTAATTAGATGGGGTCTTATTTTTTGATTACAATAAACGCACTCGACTGTCAGTCTTACAAATTCTGAAGGCATCGTCATAAACACCATTGGGGCTCCTGGATGAAAAAAGTTCCTGAATTATTGCATATAAGATGGTGCCTATTGATTACAACTATTAGTTATGCAACCCATTTCTCACCTGTAAGCGCAAAGCCACCAAGGACTACCGTAAAATACCCAACATCTTTAGTCGTTTGTTTTACTTTTCAGAAATCCAAAACATTATTTTGAGATACCTTTCTCAGTTACACTAGCTAGTGGAAGGTTTTCACGTTTTTCTGATGGGGTGACAGAGCTGTTACTCGCTGAACTAACTGAACGATATGGCCTTACTGGCCATTGTTGATAGGGGAAACGTGAGACACTTAGCTTTACCGATGGGACTTGGAAGTAAATTAGTTTGACAAATCTTGTCATTTTTTTACGCTAATTTCTGCAACCAGGACGATCCTAGGGGTATCGTTCACTGATGGAGGTCACTGAGCACTTGAAGGTCAAACCGTCATAAAGCGATTGGTGCGCCACCGCGACAATTCGCACGAGGTGAGACTTTTATGGACGACCTTTGAGCGACTCTAAAATGACCTTGAGAGTGCCCGCCTAATAACTAGAACCAAATGAAGATTATTAAGCGGTTTGAAGGATAGGGATTATGACTTACATTTGATGTTTAAGGTTAGGAATTATATTTAGGCTTTCCATCACGAACTGACATCAGCTATAATGCCAGAACTCTATTCAGCCAAATAAATGACTGAATGAGTGTATCCCATGACAGTGGGACATGTGAAGTAGCTAGTTGCCGCTTGAAATGCAAGAGACAAGAACTGCTGATTAGTTTGGTCTGTCGCGGTCCAGGCTGTGAGGTAAATGAATTGCTGCTAAGCAGTCTCAATACTTGGTCACAAAATGGTCGATGTCTAATCCTAATAGTCGACTGGGAAGAACTGCGAACTGAATTGTCAGATAACTCCTTCGAGCAGGAACTAGTTGATGCGCTTATCACATGTGCCCTAGTTGGACATGTGAAAGAAGCGACTAGGTACGACCCGGACTCTGAATCATCCTTACTAGATCTTATATTGACTCACTATGAGGATGAAGTTGCGAACCTCCATTACATGCCACCCCTTGGTAAAAGTGATCATGCAGTTCTAACTTTTGACTCTCATATAACTGTCAGTCACGAGCACGCGTCAGTCCAATCAAGACCTTTTTTCTGGAAAGCACACATACAAGATATCATGCACTCAGCATCATCAGTAGATTGGGTAATAGAGCCAGAGATCTCAATTGAAACAGCTTGGAACGTATTTCGAAATTTGTGCCTAAAAGTTACCACACCCCACATCCCTTGAACTACACCAAGGAGGCCGAGAGACTCTCCACCGTGGTTCAGTAGGGAGGTTCGCATCTTTCTCCGTAAGAGAAGAAAAATGTGGGATAGATTCAGGTTACTAGGGCCTGATGAGAAAAATCTCAGTATGGAAAAGCTCGGAATACCTGTACCTCGACCCTCCGTAAGTCTGGAAAGTTGTACGAAAAGGAAATTGTTAAGAAATCCATAGAATGTCCTAAACGCTTGTATCCCTATATAAACCAAAGGACAAAAAGAAGAGGAAATATTTCTGCATTATGGGGAGTCAGTACTGCTTCATCATTAGTGGAGGACGACATTGGTAAGGCTCAAGTGTTCTCGAACTACTACCATAGAAGCACCCTTCCCGTCAGTCCATACAAATCCCCTCACATATACACTGGGTAGCGTGACCATTAAAGAACTCGATGTTTTTGGTCTGCTAAATAAGCTTGACATAGGTAAATCCACGGACCCCGATGAATTACATCCTAGGCTACTGAAGGAATTATCTAACCTTTTTGCGAACCCTTTAAGTATATGCTTAAATCTATCCGTAACCCAGGGTCGTTAACCGAAGACTGGAAGAGCGCCATAGTAAGTCCTATCTTCAAAACATGTACGAAACATAAACCTGAGAATTACTGACCCGTTAGCCTAACTAGTGTGGTTGTCAAAATCTTAGAAAAGGTTATTTGGAAGGAGCTGTCTAAGTTTCTCGATGAAAACCGGATCCTTTCGGAGAAGCAGCATAGCTTTAGAATAACTTATTCCTGTTTTACTAACTTTTTAGAGGTTCGCGATAATTGGTGCGCTCTTAAGGACCAAAAATTACCTGTAGACGTAGCCTACGTTGATTTCAGCAAAGCTTTTGACAAAGTTCCGCACAAGCAGCTGTTATACAAGCTATGAAATGTCGGGATTGGAGGCAATCTATTGATGTGGATAAAAGACTTCCTATTTAGGCGTCAACAGAGAGTACGGGTAAACTGAAAGTTATCTATCTGGGAAACTGTGCTTAGTGGAGTGCCCCAGGTTACAGTTTTGAGGCCAGTGCTATTCCTGTTGTATGTAAATGACCTTCCTCGTCTCCTGTCATCACCGGTCTTGCTATATGCTGACGATGTCAAGATATGGAGAACGATATGATGTAAGGGTGACAGCTTAGAACTTCAAAATGACCTGAAGAAATTATCTGAATGGTCTCAAACCTGGCAGTTGCCGATAAATACTTCCAAGTGTGTCGTGATGCATATCGGTCATCAAGGTACAGATACATACACGATGAATAACACTGAGCTACCTGTCGTCCGGACATATAATGACTTAGGAGTCATCGTTAGCCACGACTTAAAGACCACTGCACACTGCAGTGCAGTAGCTGCCGAAGGTCTTAGGACTTTATGGTCAATACGCAGGGCTTTTATTCGTGCAGACGCTAAGACGTTTTTGACTTTGCATACAGTGTTCGTACGTCCTAAACTTGAGTACTGCATACAAGCGGCCAGCCCCTGCTTAAAAAAAGCCAGTGAGCTTCTGAAAAAGGTTCAAAGAACAGCAACTATGCTAATTTCCGGAATAGCGAAGCTCTCGTATGATGCTCGACTGACCAAGCTAAACATATTCCTTTGTCATATGGAAGAACTAGAGGTGACTTGATTACAGTTTTCAAATTGCTGAGTGATAAATCTGCATGTGATATGCCCTCATTTTTCTTGTCTTCCAAAACAGAGAATTTACGAGGACACTCCAAAAAAGTTTACAATTCCAGGACAAATTACTTGTCAGTTGACTATTGACTTTCCCATCGAACGAGTGGGATTCATTACCTCAACACGTAATTGTAGCTCCATCTGTCAATGCTTTCAAAAGAAAGTCGGATCAACTGAGAGACCATCATTGCCAGGAAAAACACAGGCCATCTAGCATCCTGTCAATTCCAAAATGAAACTGATAGATCGCCAGAATCCGAGACATATTAATTCATACGTAATTGGCTCGTTCACAAATTGTTGTCTCGTCAACGTCAAGCCTCCTAGTAACGAGAAAAAGCCACCGTGATGATGCATGATTTAGAACAAGTCTTCAATAATACTGACGCGCACTATTAAAAATGGAGAGTGGTATTTTTCTTGTGAGTATACTTTATAGTATTGATCGCTAAACTGCTCATCAAAATTACAATTTTTGCTTTAGTTGAATTTGTTTCAGTTGAAATAATCCCCGAGAGTACCTTTTTTCTGTGCTTTACGAGTACAGATACAAAAAACTAAAGGCACTGGTATTTATTCTTTATCATTGAGTATTGTTTGTATTCATAGGTTTGAAAGTCTTTTTATAACTACAGATGTTGGTTTTTAATTGATATTAGGGAAACCAAATTTTTTATGCAAAAACATGAAAAAAAATTTATGGCGCAGCTGAAACATCTTTGTGGCAGACCGGCATGCCATTTCCCTGTCCATGATGGGATGCTATGTGATAACTGCAGTAAGTGGTATCACATGGTGTGCACCGGACTTACGCCGGCTGCATATAAACGGTACTGCAAGCCATTATGACGTTGGTTGTGCAAAGAACGTTGCTCTACAAAGTCCTTGTCTGTTCTAGAAGCAAGTGAGCTGCTGAGTACAGCTAGAAGATTGCCCTCTGATAAACAGACAGCAATAAATGAACAGAATACTGCTTTTGAGGAAATTGAGAGTGATATCATGAGCCCAGCTCCAGAATTAAATAAGACCATAAGGGTGAACCCCATCAGGGAAGAAGACAAACATATGAATGTAGGCCTTGTCACAAGGAAAAAGAAAAAGCGCTCTGAGAAAAAGAAACTATCTATAGACAGTACTGAGGCATGCGAATATACGATTTCAGCTCCAGATTCCCATATCAATGTTACGCAAACTTGTGGTGTTTGGATTAACTAATGATTCTTTCGTACTTTTTGAATGCTCGATTTCGAATTCTAAATATAATACACTCGTTCGTGCTTGTGTCGTAATTCTTGATTCAACTGCGTTAATTCTGGGATTCCTAGTCCATACGATAACTCAAATATTATACTGGCGTCGCGATGGAGCCTGCGATGGAAAAGTTAGATATTCATTCAACTTCTGAAGCTTTTGAGGATTATTTTGTAAGGTTCGAAATCTGGGCTATGACCAACGAAGATGCTGAGGATGTTAATATTGTGGCACATTTCCTCACATTCATCGGAAAAGAAGCATGTAGCTTATTAAGAACTCTGGCTATGCCGGAAAAACCTATCTCGCTTCCTTATACAACTCTCAAGGAACTGCTACTAGACTATGTTTAGTATACAAATTTTGAAGCCATAAAGGAAGATTTTGTAACGTGATTCATGAGGATATAAAAAATTCCACTACATCACTACGTCATCCCAACCCAGTGCATACTCAAGGCTATGCAGATAATTCATTGAGGAGTTGCAATGCTTTTCAAGAAGATGGGCACAAGTTTGGTCAGTGTTTGTCCTGTGGCAAGCTCCACTCTTTTAAATCATGTAAATTTCGTAATTCTAAGTGCTTTATATGTGGTAATATTAGACATACACAGTCAGACTGCGATACTAATGTTCATCTTATTGCAGATAATATTATGTCTTGTAATACTGATTATATTAAGTTGAGTACATATAATGATTAATTATCTTTATCAACGATTGCAATAGACAGTGTAGGACAGCGGGAAGACGATGAACTTGCAAACACCGAACAGTGAGGTATTCGGAAGTCAACCAAGTGGTCGACACTGAAGTCAAGGACAAACTGTGTCCTTCGAAACAGGTGTATCGGAGCTTAATCACGCGTACTGCAAATTAAAACGGTATATAAGTGCATCAATCGGGAAAATTGTCGACTTACATTAATAAATCAGGCAGTCCTTGCATAGCGAAACTAGGCAAGCAGTCGAAATTTATCAAAACGTCACGGATTATGTAACCTTTAAACGTTTGAACTATAAGATGATGAAGAAATTCGTCCATAGAATTAAAAGGCGTATGAGTTGGTGGGAGCTGTTCTTTCCTTTTATTCGGGAA